AATTGCCAACTTTCTCAAACAATTTTCCACATTCTAAACCCATTTGAGAATAAATATTCGCAGTTTCTTCTCGAGTGTAACTAGAATCCCTAGAATCCCTAGAATCGTAGAATTACTGCGTAAGTGCAAAAAATAAACGCGAAATTTATCAAGATCTCTTTGTTAACCCTCGCCGTTGAGCAAGATGGTTCTCTCGGCTGCCGGCTGAGGCGGAAGGCGCGTTATTGCAAAATTTTCGAATGTCAGGCGCAGGGAAGAAGCAACTTAAACGCGTTACGTTTAATACTTAAATTGTGCCTCCGAAATGAGACGCGTAACAGCGTGACGCCCGGCTTGACAGTGCTATTAAGAGCAATACCGTAGCTACCTGTCAGATCTCGGAATAAATGGAGCGGCGACGGAACTGCTGGAGCTGAAAACGAATTTCCGGATGCGACGCTAATCTTATCTCCGCCAGGGAATTTACCCCGACAAACGTCCTCCTTTCTTTTCCCTTCGGAAAACCGGACCAGAAATTCTCGCGAAAAGTGTAATAATCGTATAACGTGTTGATCGCCGTCCGCTCGTAATTGAAACTTGGCAAATCGCCGTGGATTATTTGTCAGGGGCGGCTGAAAATTGAAATATCGACGGGGCAGCTCGGGCTCCTTTTTCAAAATTACGTTTTTACGCCGAGAGTAATATATATAATATACCTAACCTAACATAACCTAACCTAACCTAACTTAATCTAACACAGCTGGCGAACGGAGTTTGGTCAAACTCGCTGATACTTATTCTTTCGTTATTTTCTCCTCGATTATGGGCAGAATTATTTTTATAAATATTATATATTATATTATTTTTATAATTATATTATGTTATATTTTTAAAAATTATATTTTCCTCTTTCGCTCCCTGTTGACATCGAATCGATTTAATATCCTGTTTTATGCTTATGTTATAGCAATCTGTATTTAAAAGGTTAGAATAATTTTAGACAATTTCGTATGATCGTGTTGGGCAAAAATTTGTTTCCAGAGGTGATATATAATAAACGGGAGACCAAGATAGTTATAAAAATTGAAATATGCAGTATAAATTCGTGATAATAAATGAAATTATTTTTAAATTTGTAAATTTTATCGCGAGCCAACGGTGTCTTTGGGAAAATTCGGATACCCGTTACAAAGAAATAACTTTGTAAATTTTTATTTTCACAGGCTGCTAGCTATTTCTGCACTCTCAAATTCCTATTTTAATCTCCCCTCTTTTGTGCCTGGGATATACTTTTATCCTGACTTTATGATTTTTTCTATCATCCAAATTGCTTCTGTTAATAACGTTGTGTATGTGTTCTTTCTACATATTTTTCACTAATTAACCGAATTTGTTTTCAACGTTGTATTTTTACCATGGAATATTCGTAATAAGCTTGTGATAATAAATTGAAGTATCTTTTTTCTCCGTGTCTTCGTGGAAATTAAAATACCGACGACACGATCGCAATAATGAACTGAATTAATTTTTTAAATTGGTATTTTCATGATAAAAAGAAATACTCGTCGTTCCTCCCTTTTATTCCTGAATTCCTTTTTTAACCTATATAATTATTACCTTTAAAAGGTAAAAATAAGACAAGATAATTATTACCTTTAGAAATAATCCTGAATCGGATTTAATAGCAAAAATTGGTCGATAATGACATATTATTAATTCGTACAATGCAAATGGGTCAATGACGTTCCACTCGTAATGAATCCTTGCTTCTGGATTCTTCTTCACTTGCAACTTGAGAATTTCGCCAGACGAAATTCCTCAGTCGACAATTATCGTCCGAATATCTACCAAGCGACGAGTTTCTTCGTCTCGCGCGAACTTCCAGCAAACCGGAAGCGAGTATCGGCAAGTTCGTCTAACCGAGTCGCGACGTTTACGTAAAAGCTAGCAGCTACTTTGTAAAATCTTGGAATGCTCGACGGACGCACGTTCGCGACAGATTCTCGGGGCACGTATTTCAATCGAGCGCCAGCTCGCCTGTGAAACTATCTGTTCGCTCCTTTTTCTTGTATCACCGAGTCGCGCGACCACCACGGGGAATATATTTTTTGGAACGCGGTCGGAATAATTCCGTGCACAGTCATCGAGCGAAACCGAACGAAATCGAGACTAGTCCTTTCCGAATAATTTATCCGCTCCGAGGGAAAGTGGCGCGCGCGAGAAAATCGCTAATTCGCGGAAACCGCGGGAGAAGTTGCTCGCGCTCGCACCGGCTTGCAAATTCGCGATAAAATACTCCGAACACGCGCGGATCTTCGTCGCGTCGTTTCCTGCATTTGTCCCGTTTTTTTTTTTGAAAAAAATCCGTTCGGAATATCCCTTTCGCAGCGACGGGATACGGGCGACCGTCGATGAAAAATTTTTGTACGCGAATCGTTGCGTTTTCGACAAGGGAAATAGGAATTATCGTATTCTAAGCGGGGTAAATGGTATTTAGAGAGTACCGATGGAATTTCGACGATTTGATTTCGATCGAATATGATTCGAGACGAAAATAACGAAATACCAGCTGGGATTTTTGACAGAGTTCCTTACCAGGATAATTAAAAATTAATTCCACATAGTGGAAGAATCGCATACTTATCCAGAAACGCTAAATCCAGGAAATACTAATTTTCTGTCGAATTTCGAAGTGGAAGAGCCACAAGGAAGCACGCAAGGATGCTATGCGATCCACGTGCAAGAATCGAGTCGCAATGAGAACCTTCGCGACCCCAAACTCTTTTAAGACAACTTTAATCCACCCACCGACTCTAGAGAATCCAACAAAACTCAGTGGAAAACAAATCAATAACTCACCCTTTGCCATAGACTCTGCCTCGAAGTCTCCGATTTCAAAGAAAGAATCCACGGCCCCAAACTTGTCAACCCTCTCTTTCATCCCCCACTCAGACCCCACGCAAACAGCAACGCAAACATCCGTGAGAACGTTTTCCCCGTTTTTACCAACGGACGAAGCTCCTCTGACGTAAAAATCAAAAATGAACGTAAGCCGTATGAACGAATGGAAACAGAGAGGAGAAACACGACAAATAATTACCACGTAACATGCCCTGTACCCTCCGAATTGTAATTATTACAATTAACCCTAAAAATCGAAATTTATCTTCAAATTAGTAAAAGATGAAGCAGCCAGTGCTGGATTTAAAAGGAAAAAATTGGAATGAATTTGAAATAAATTGAAAAAGATTGAAACAAATTTTCAAAAAATTAAAAGCAATTAAAAAAATGAAATTATTGAAATTACTTTGGATTTCATCGTTATGAATGCCTCGTACTGTTAAATTGAAAAGAAAATTAAAACTGCTTGGGAAGGAGTAAACTAAATTTATAAACTATAAATGTTGGTTTTATGAGAGTGTGAGTGTTGGTTTGATATGTATGAATGAGAATGAGGTGGAATAAATGAAAGTATTATATCATTTGAGATGATATAATATATGCGAGTGGAATCTGGTACAAATGTTGTTAAACAGTGTTTAGAAGAATGTGCTAGAATAAAATATAATATAAATAATTTTAATAATTTTAACTTAATAATTGTAACTTATTAATTTTTTTACCCAAAACAACTTTTCCATTTGCTTCTAGAAAATATTGATCGGTTTATAATTTGTTTTCATAGCAATGGTCGATTCGCAATTTCTTTGGAAATGGTATCCTAGATTATTATCTAAATATATTAATTTGCTAACTGTTAAAAAGCGTGGAAGATAATGGTAATCATTTCTATCCATATAAACAATTAAAAATAGTTTTGCCTCTTAAAAGATCGTAGTTAATCACTTTGGATTTCGTCAATACGATCGACTCGTATCGTAAGATGTAAAAAGAAAAATTGGAAACAATTGAAAAAGAATTTTCCTAAATATCACTGTGAAAGCGTTATTCTGTTTTTCGGATTAACCGTGCTATACGTCTCTCTAACCAAGACTCTCTGTTGCATGTTGCAGTGCTGACGGTCCCCGACTACGACGTCAGGGTGAACAGGTCGACGGTTCTGAAGGGATGCAACGCAGTCCTGTCTTGCACGGCGCGAGAAGACGTGAAGGAGCACCTGACGGTCACCTCTTGGTTCCGAGACGAGGCCATCCTCCTACCTGGCAGCACGGACACGGGTGAGTGTCGAAAACCCTTGTCTCCTTTGCTTTAAGCTCGCAGCCACCCTTGTCCGCGATTTCGTCCGATAACGCGAAAGCTTGTTCGGCTTCTCGGTCGATTTGAGAATCGGGTAATCGCATGGGAATAGCCGGTGGTGGGGGGTGTGGACAGATGTTCGGGGAAAAGCTGCTCGAGGGGATGAAACTCGGGGAGGGGGTAAGAATGAGCAGATATTTTAAAATTTAGATGGGATTTATGTAAAAGGGATATTTATTTCGGGGATATATTAAAATTTATGTAAATACGGAGATTTATGAGAGAGGGATCTTTCAGGGTGGTGCTGTTAGGGTGTTAGTTTTGGAATTTTCATCGAATGTCTTATTTTGGGGGTTGGTATTGAAAATTCTGCGATGGGGGGTTGAAGAGTCGATTGTGCGAAGGTTTTAAGGTAAATTGGGGAGATTGATATGTAGAACGAGGTTAAAGATTAAAGTAAGGTTAGGAAAGGGATGTATGGTTTTAATGAAAAATTGTTGAGGTAGAGAATAATTGGATCTGTCTATTTCTCGACTACTTGGGGTTGTTTGTTAATCGGGTACTCGAACGTTAGTTTTTAATTAGGTACTTCAAATTACTCGTTAATCAAATACATAGATCCGTTTCTTATTCGATTGTATAATGTGGCTTTCGACTACTTCGGGTTATTTGTTAATCAGGTACTCGTAGACTATTTGTTAATTAGGTACCCACAGAATATTCGTTGACCAAACACTTAGATCTGTCTATTATTCGACTGTATAAAATTATTTCTCGACTACTCGAGGTTATTTGTTAATCAGGTACTCAAAGACTATTTGTTAAATAGTTGCCCACAGAATATTCTTTAACCAAATACTTAGATATGTCTATTATTCGACTGTATAATATTATTTCTCGACTACTCGAGGTTATTTGTTAATCAGGTACTCGTAGACTATTTGTTAATTAGGTGCCCACAGAATATTCGTTAATCAAATACTTAGATCTGTCTATTATTCGACTGTATAAAATTATTTCTCGACTACTCGAGGTTATTTGTTAATCAGGTACTCGAAGACTATTTGTTAATTGGGTACCCACAAAATACTTGTTAATCAGGTACTCGGAGGCTATTTGTTAATTAGGTATCCGCAAAATATTCGTTATCCAAATACTTAGACCTGTCTCTTATTCGACCGTATAAAATTATTTTTCAACTACTTCGGGTTATTTGTTAATCAGGTACTCGGAGACTATTTGTTAATTAGGTACTTGGAAACTACTTTTTAATCGAATATTTTAGTTTATTTGTTATTCGAGTTATTGATTAAATAAATATTCTCATATTGCTGAAATCTTGCAATTTTTCAAAGAAGAAATAAGTATGTTGTTTAATTTCTCTGAAACATTCGTAATAATTACAAGTATTTCAATACCTCGCTCTTGTCGCGAGACAATGAAAGCGAGCAACGAAACAGAATGATTAGAATACCTGTCGACAGAGCAATATTCTATAAAATATTTCATAAAATGGCCAACAACGTGCCATTCTCCCGGTATTCCTGAAAAACTAACCTCCTTTGAAGTGCACTTTTCTCGTCAAATAGTTGATTTTAATTGCTAACAAGCATCACGTAGTTATTCATATTAAAAATATATTCACATTGTTATTTATGCTTGTTAATATTTCCCATAGACACTCTTCCCGTGAGAATTAAATTCACGAATATACTCTCGTACATAATTTCGAAAACTTCTATTCAATTCCCATTCTTTCGACTATCCATTCGCTTTCACCAGTCGAAATAAGAAAATACGTATTCTATAATTAATAAAACTAAGACTGAGTAATTTATCAATTCACAAACTCCTGAATTATCTACTCTACTTTTATACATCTACTTTTCTATCTTGCAGCAGCTTAAACATAGATGTAACCCTCCCTCGACAACATAACCTCAAAATCGACGCTCTAAACTCCGATATCAGTAAACATAACCTATATTAACAATCAAAACGGAAATAACTCGAACTCATTTACCATCTTCCGTATTTTTACCCTTTGCCTAACCCCTGTCGAACAACCGGAAGATCCAGCAGGCGAATCGAGCGGAAATCGAGCGAGAAATCGGGGCTTCCCGCGGATCGATGCGTTGCCGTCCCATGATAAATCGCCGTTTCGTGCCACGAAATTCTAAACGCGGTCTTCACGTGGCCAACAAAGCGTCAAAACGTCCACTTGGATACGCTACTGGCGCGATGGGTCCCGCGAGAGACAAAGTGAGGTTAGGGATGCTCGATGGCGTTCGATCGTGGAAAAGATGGCGGACAATTTTGGCAAAGGGAGCACGGGCTTCGCAATACGATAAAGTTGCAAAGATGGAGGAAGGGTGAGGAATATAACGTGCTGACTAACTGGAGAGTTGTTCCAAAGTTGTTCCTTCGGTGAACGTGTTTCGAAGGAGGGTTGCTGAAGCGAGTTTGATAGTTTTTAAACGTTCTGCGTGCCTGAACTGAGAACGGTCTCTGAGTTGAGCTTCAACAGATATTGACACTGTTAACGTACATGAATACATATACATGTTGTACGTATAAAAGATGATATTTACCGATGATATTAGCTTCGACCAATTCTAGGATTTTGTAGTATCGCAGGATTTCCACCTCGTGTATAGGTAACTTTAGCTTAGAAAGTCACCGAGAGTTCGAGGGCCAGGTTGGTTGGAAGAACGCCGACGATGCGTCAGGCTCTTAGCATGACCATATTTTGTCACGTTGGGGGAGACTTTTTGAGAAAATATAAAAGAAGGCAGAAGTGGTTAGTGAGCAGTGATTGGAAGCGAGTTTGTTGTAAGGCCCGCTACGCTGCTGCGGCAATGCTGCTGGGATGCGACCTACTCTAACTTGATAGAGGTAGACCTAGTTGTTATTTAGTTGTTGTTGAACTGCAAAGAGTTCTATAGTAGTAGACAGTCTCCTGCGCTGAGTAGTTGGTGGTTCTCGATGATAATGCTGTGGTCGTGATGGAGTTTTAGGAAGAATCCTTTTGGTAATGCCTTGTCTATCTGCTGATTGGTTGGTATAATATTGGGGGTGTGTGTTAGCTTCAGCATCTTTCGGTGGTGGTGGTTGTTTAAACAATCTAGGTTCTTATGTCTGTCGTCTTAAAGGATAATATATCAATCCTCGTTACGGTTTACCCAAGTGGTGATTTAGGTGACGCTGAGTATGTACAAGTCAAGGGACGCTGACAATATGAACATAAAGCAGTCCTCCACTTGACCTGGGACATTACGATCCTAGGGCCGCAACAGAGTTCTTGAGAGACAGTTCTTTAGAGGAGTTCTTAGTTGTGTTTTAGTTGTGAGCCATTAGTTGCAACAGGCTGAGTTGTCATTGTGTTGTTGAGTCGAGTTGTAGTCTTAAGTTGTCGTTGATATAGATTCGTATGCTTAATCCTTACCCACATATTGTTAATCTATTGTTACTATTGTTAATTAATAAATGGTTTTATTTACCACCCAATTTACCCAAGTCTCTACAATTTTGTATCAGGATAACATAACATGGAAGGAGGTTGCTCGCCGACAAATTCTTGCAAATGACGTCGTTCGCAAATTTCAATCACGGATGTAGCGTTCAGGAAAGTAAACTCTGCACGGATATTCCGGATTAGAGGAAAAGTTAAAATTCGTTGTAATCAGCATCAAAGACGGGTGCTCGACCCTTTTCCCGATTTTTCATGCAGCATGCCCGATTCAGGTGCGTTTCACTCGCGTTTCACTCGTGTTCCTCTCCAGCTTCGTGCCTTTGTGCAATCCCTGTGTCTCGTTGTCCTTTCAACGACGACGACGACGACTCGTGCGTCTCATCAACGCAACGGTTGTTAAGTCCAAATCGACGTCTCTGCGTGATCGACAAAGGGAGATCCATGCGAGCTCCCGGAAGCCATCCGGTTCCCGTTTTCCCTTCCGTTTCACCACGCCACGCGTCTCCTCGCAGCAACACGAATTTCGACCGCTCTATTTTCCCCTCTTTGCTTTCTTCTCTCGAACGTCAGGGAGATCAAGGTCCGGATCAAACGGGACGCTTAGATTCAAACGGAATGTTCGAAGGTCTTTGAGACGCTAGGCGCCGATGGCAGGAAGCCTCTGATGAGGATGGAGAGTGAGCTTCTCTAGTACGTGATGCGACGCGTAGTTTTTTAAAAAGCTGCAATTCTCTGGGATGAGTTTGACGGTGATCAGCACCTGAGATATGGAGTATTTGGAATAGAGTATCTTCAATAAAATGGTCATCTTCATTGCTCTTTTACTCTGTGTATAATATTCTCTACATTCTCGAATTTCGTTCAAAATCTTCGAAATATTTGGAGAAATTTCCAGGTTCTTTTTAGTCATCCATGAGTCTTTTGAAAGGCTGAAATTCTATGACATGAGTTAGATAGGTCTGAGCACCTGTAAGAGAACATTTGGAGTAGAATATTTTCAATAATATATTAATCTTCCTTGCCCTTTTACTCTATATATAATAGTCATTCCATTTGCAAATTTCATTAAAAATTTTCGAAATATTTTGCAAAATTTCCAGGTTCTTTTTAGCCATCCGTGAGTCTTTTAAAAAGCTACAATTCTCTGGTATGAGTTAAATAGGTCTGAGCACCTGTGAGGGAGTATTTGGAGTAGAGTATCTCCAATAAAATAATAATTTTCGTTGCTCTTTTACTCTGTGTATAATATTCTCTACATTCTCGAATTTCGTTCAAAATCTTCGAAATATTTGGAGAAATTTCCAGGTTCTTTTTAGTCATCCATGAGTCATTTGAAAGGCTGAAATTCTATGACATGAGTTAGATAGGTCTGAGCACCTGTAAGAGAATATTTGGAGTAGAATATTTTCAATAATATATTAATCTTCCTTGCCCTTTTACTCTATATACAATAGTCATTCCATTTGCAAATTTCATTAAAAATTTTCGAAATATTTTGCAAAATTTCCA